TGCGCCTGGGACAGCGAATGCACCCCCCTACATGGTCAAAACGAGACGAATCCAGCAGCTCGGCGCCGAGAGCTTCTCGCCTGGTAGCGCTCCTTATCTGTTCCTCGGAGCACTTGTAAAACTTCGATCGCGTGGCAACCCGCATCGCCCCCCCCGCTGGTATACTACTGCCCCTGGGCCGGCCCAGCGGTCACGCTGAAGGAGGTGAAACCTGTTTGCTGCCGAAACTCGGCGCCGAACGTAGACCCACTCTCCTGGCTTAAAGTGACGGTCCGAGTGCACTCTGGCCCTGCTGGCCTCGGACAATCGAGAGCTGGCGCCCATGCTCGCCATGGCTGCCCTTGCCGCTGCGCGGGCGCGGCGCCTTCGAACGAACTCCCTCGCGGCGGAGTCTTGCCCGCTTTCGCCCAAGACATCCTCGGGCCAAGCCTCGCCCAGGGGATCGTCGGATAACGGAGCTCTGGGAAGCCGCGGGCTGCAACCTAACACCAAGTGAGCTGGACAGAACCCCCCTGTGGCACGCGCGATTTTTGGCCGCCACCACCTCGCAAAGCGAGACCTCCACCTCATCCTTAGTGGCGGGGCAAACCGAGAGGGAAGCCCCGGATAACGCATCCTTGAGAATGCCGCCGTGGCGCTCGCACTCGCTGTTATAGCGCGGAGACATCGCAGGCGCTACCTGATGAGAAATCCCTTTGTGCTCGCACCCCCGGGCAAACTCGCGCTCGAATTCGCTTCCGCCATCCGAAAGCAAACTCTCTGGATGGCCGAAAGGGCGCACCCACAGCTGGAGGAAAGCTCGCCAAGTGGCGATCGCGGTGTCGGCTGAAATCAGACAGGCCCTGCTGAAGGTTAGCGCCATGATCTAGAACGTCCAGGGCGGGCGCGCTAACCCCTCGACTTCCAGATAGAAGAGGTCCACCGCTATCGGCGCATTGAACTCGCAGGCGCGGGGGAGACGCGCCTGGCGCCTCCAGCGCGGACAAGATTGCGACACGCGAGCCCCGCAAACAAACTCCCGCTTGGCCCAGTCTACGACATCGGGCCTGGCCTCGGCCACCCGCAGAATCCTGGGGAAATCCCGCAGGGGCGGATGTCCAAGGTTCACGTGCAGGCGGTTGACTTCTTTCTGCAGCGCGGGCTCTAGGCCCTGAGAGGCTTCTCAGAAGCTGAGGTGCCAGCTGGACCTGGAAGGGGCCCCAGGAATCTTTCAGGAGCTTCTTCCTCGCCCAGGCTCTCAAGTCCGGCCCCCTCGGGAATCGACCCCGGGATGGGGCCCCCGGACCTCGCGCGACTCCACGCCGGAAGCGATCCTTCTTCTCCTTCTTCCTCCTCCCCCTCCTCCATTCTACAGAGAAAGACCGCGCAGTCGCGGCCGCATGGCGCCGCCTGGCGGCGCGCTCTATCCCGGTGACCGCGGCCGAGACGAGCTCGCCGGGGCACTGCTCAGACTGGCTGGCCCCGCGCAGCTGAAGATGCCCATGCTCTCTGGAACGCACCCAGGTGCATTCCCTGAGGAATGCCCTAGAGTTCCTGACCAGTCGCGCCCGCTTCCTAGAAAGAGCCCCGGGAAACATATACAATCCGAACTCGCGCTGGTCGGCGACGGCCGACTCGACCCCCGGCGCCCCCATCAGGTCCCAGACCTCCTGGCGCTGCCAGGAGCTCGCCCCGATAGAATGCTCAAGAGCAAAATGCCGCCCGCGCTCCATCTGGCGTCGTGCCACCTGAGCCCATAGGTGGAGAAGCTCCAAACCCCTTCTGCTTGACCGTGGCGAGATCCTCTGGGCTCATTCTATCCCATGACGGGGCCCTCGCCTGACTGAATGCCTTGCACTCGTGGGACATGATAACTAAGAGAGGCTCGTCACGTCCCAAGACGCCCCACATCTGACTCTGGCCCTCCCGAGAGCTAAGACACACGCCCGCGAGGAGGTCGAGCGCGGAGGAGACGCGGCGGCCGCAGCGGGCCAGCTCCTTGGACATCTTCGGGGGGCAGAACAGCTCTAGTGCCACGGGGCCCCTCCGGACCGCCTCGGCCGAGATGATCTGGCGACGTCTACGATTTCTCCCGGATCTGAGCCCTTGACCGCTTAAGAGCCGGGCGGTCGCCTCCCTGGCCGTCTCGGGGGCGGCGAGCCCCCGCCAGTCTCTGGGGCCAGCGCCGTCTGAGGCGGCAGCCGCGAAGCGGTCCTCTATGATGTAGTGGCGCTCGCTGTGCACCCTGGATGCAGTGGCCTCGCACTTCTCGCGCTGCCCTGCCCCTGACTTCCCCCTGAGGTGCAACGGCCAACGTGCGCGGATGGAGAGGGGGGGGGCTGGGGGAAGCGGGCTGGCGTGGAGACTCGCCAGGGCCGGGGGCGCCCTGCCAGACCCGAATCCTGGGAGAAGAAGCCGAGGCCTCTTTCTCTAGAAGACGTGCCCTGAATCGTCGTGCTCTGTCGGGCTTGCGCAAGCGCGGCCCTGCGCTCTGAAGCGGTGGCGCCAAGCCAGGGCGCGCCGATGGGGATGCCTCCCTCGGGCGACTGACTTCCCTCCAACGATCCCGCCCAGAGAGAAGAGAGGGGGCGGATTGACGACCGCGGGGCTCCATGGCCAACGCCACGACGAGAGAAGAACGATTCTGCATGGTGAAATCTCGCTTACACCACCCGAATCGAGACTCGGCTCCTCGGATTTCACGCACTGGCCGCTCTTCGGATCCCAGATCCCCAGGGTCGTGACTCGAGAGGGCCACTCGAGGCCACAGGCGTCTGCGCCAGACGCCCATGCCCCGAAGAAACAGGCGAGCCCTGGAGACTGGGCGGCCTCGGGCCCGGGGCCTCTCAGAAAGAAACTCCATGACTTTCGACTCGCCGCTCAGCCAGAGACTGACTGGCCCCTCGTCTTGGCCCGGCGACGGGCCCGCCGAGCTCGATGAGGCACTCCCGCTGCTGCGGATCGCCCTGGCCAGGCGCTCCACGTCCTCCTCGCTCAGGGCGGGGCGCTTGGCGATCGTGCTGATCGTGCTGAAGTTGCGCGCGTTCGTCCAGGCCTGCTGCCGCGCCGTGGGCGTGACCTCCGAGAGCGCCCTCATCATCTCCCCCTGCGTCATGGGCCTCACGCCTGACGGGAGATTGGGCGGGGCCTTCTTGAACGCCGCCGGGGGAGGCGACGGAGTGTAGCCCGAGATCCCTGCATGCGGATCCGTGCCCAGAGCCGCCGTGCAGGGCGCGTGCCCCGAGCTCACCGGCACGCGAAGGTTGAGAGGCACCGCCGGAGCTTCCACCGCCGCCTTGACCAGCGCCCCGCCCTCGAACATCTCGCGCTCGATCCCGCTGCCCTTCCAGAACTGCTCGACTGCGGGGTCGACGGCCTTCGAAGTCGCCTCGGGGGTAGGCGGCCTCGGCGCCCAGGCGCCCCCCATGGCCATGTCCGTCTCGCATTGCCTCCGCCTCCGCCTCCGCCTCCGGGCGGAAAGCCGCGCACGACTCCCGGGCCTTCAGGATGAACCCGCGTGCGACCTGGAATCTAGTCGGAGGCGAAAATCGACCTGAGCACATACACATCACAGCCACGAACACCCCGACAACGAAACACAAAACCAACCCCACCACCACCGAGGAGCACACTTCACGATGTTGGCGTGTCAACTGTGCACAGGGGCCAGAAACTAATCTTATTGGACACGCAGGCACCAGACCAGAAACACATATGGTTGCGGGGCAGGGATGAATGAGGGAGGGGAAGAAGGGGGAGCAAACCACCCCACGAACGCCACATCTCCCGAGACAACGAACAGTGCCCCGGCTGCTAGGGCGTGGGGGCGGCGTGACCTGCGTCAGTAGGCGCAGGTCTGGCACATGACGGAACAGTAGAACCGTCTGCCGCCCCCGCGACGTCACGTAGGATCGCCGCTCGGCTCAAAGGGTGCAGCCCCCCGAAGACCCCAAACAATGTGGATACCATAGAAAATGTGCAATCCCTCCCCCTCCCTCAAACACCACATTACATGTGGCATCACTCTGCAACGCCACCATGGAACACGAGACCAATGCAAAGTGGCGCCAAGGAGGTGGCCGCACCAGCGGTGGCGCCGGGCGCCGACTTGGTGCATTTAGGCAAACCGACCCCCTAGGTGCCACCCAAGCAAAAGACAATGAGGCCCAGAACCAAACTCTGGCGTCGCAGGGCGAATCACATAAACACTATTCTGCCTACTTTTGCCAGATCCCCTGAAGGAACACGAATCCGCAAAACACCTCCCGGACACCGAGTTTTACCTGAAGGAACCGTAGGGCCATCTTAATAAACTCTCGCCACAGCACCTGCCACGCTTGGCACAATCACCGACGCGCGTTGGCCAGACGAGTCGCCGGTCTGCCCCCCGGGACCCGCGACTGACACCGCAGCCCCAGCCGGAGCCGAAACCCCCGCGGAGGAAAGAGCCGAAGCCCCAACCGCCTACGCGGCGAAATGGTCCCGGGGAGGTTGTGCACTCCCGCCCCACAACAAACCTGAATGCTTAGAGGATGGCCGACCCGAGCACAAGACAGGAGACCCAACCACATCAGCACGACCATACCCCTACCGATAGGCACACACAGGGGCACCCCGAATGGGGTTGGGGTTAGCCGCGTCCATTGCCCTCAAACCCCTGAACGCACCTCCCGTGGGCCCAAGACCTTGGCGGGGGGGGTGAACCGCGGCGAGAACTGTGAACCGGGAGAGGAAAGGAGCAGGGAAGGGGAGGGGAGGAAGAGAAGAGGAGGGGCGGAAGGGAGAGGCGGAGGGGGGGGGAGGGAGGAAGAGAGGAGGGGCACAGACCCGCCACAGCCTACCCCCCACCCCCAGGGGGTCACAAGCACCAGCCGGGGATGAGGACGACGCGTTTCCGACGAGCGGCCACGAGGAGGCCTGTGCACCTGCTCGTCCGTCTCGCATTGCTGCACGCGCAGCTCGACCATCTTCTAGATGTCCTTGCGCACCTGGGCGGCCTTGGCCTTCGCAAGCTCCTAGGCCTAGGCCTCGGCCACGGCCTTCTCCTCGGGGGTCTTCTGCCGGTACGCGCTGCGCCTGCGACAGTAGGCGCGCGCGGCGCGGCCGTTCGCGCCTGACCACTGGGCCCACGGCGGGTGAGGACAAGAGTCGATGTTCTCCTCGCCCCTCTGCATCACGCACGGCACCATCCCGGACGCGCTCCTCGTGGTCTCCGCCGCGAAGGCGGCCCCCAGCAACTTCAGCACCACGGATCTCCAGCGCATCTTCTGGGGTCCCAGGCGGAGGCATCCCTCGTAGAACAACAGCTGCTCGTGCTCGCTCACCCCCTCGGAGTCCAGGACCTCGTCCATCGAGCTGCGGCCGATAGGCGCCCACTCGCTGGCACTGCCCCCCGTTGCCGCGTCCGGGAGATCCTCCTGGCGGTCCTCCTTCAGCGAGGGCAGTCGGCGTCCGACACTCGGACTGGCTGAGGAGGCTCGACCCTCCTTCTTGGGCTTGATTACCTTCTTCTCCCTCGTGGCCATGCGAACTGGACAGAGGCTTCGCGGTGGCAGGCAGCTCGGCTTGAGCCGAGCGAGCTACGGACCGACTCAAATTGATCCGGCTGCCCTTCGCGCGGCCCGGCCCCCGCCCGCCCCGGACTCGGAGGAGAAGGGACAGGCAGGAGACTGATTGCACTACCCAGGCTGCCGCCGACCCCGCCCGCCCCTCACTGCCCGGCCCCCTCGGGTCCCGACGAACTGGGAAGCACTCCGTCGGGAATGCATCGCGAACCTCGTCGCTCACCTGGAAGTCCTCGGGATCGCAGCGCACTGGCTCGATGTCCCGGTGTCCTGACATGTAGCGAAACATGGGCCTGGCTACGCGGCAGCCGTGATCGCGCACGTCTATCGCGTCGCTGCAGAGGCCAACCTCTGCACCAATCATTTCCAGGAATCGAGCAGGTAGGAGCCGAGGGCAGCTGTTGGCCAGCACCAAAAACTCTACGACACCGAAGCCCGCCGGGGAGACTGGAACCCAGGCCTTGCCGATGGGCTCTGCTCTTCCCCCGATCCCGCTGGCCACCTGGTTAGCGACGCCCCCCATCTTCGCGAACACCCGGAAGCCCGTCTCCGCGAAAGAGCGGCACAACTGATCAAGATCCTCTTTCCCTATCAGCGCCTGGCCGGCGGCAGTGTCGATCAGAGCGTGGTCCATCATGCTCTTCAGGCTGAGGCTCCGAGGGATTCCATGAAGATACTGACCCAAGCCATTCCAATCTGCTGCGGTGAAATTATCCAGGGTCGGATCCGGACCCTCGCACTCGAGAAAATTAAACATGCTACCCTCGTCCTCGTTCGTCGTATCCTCGTTCATGAAGCCAGCCTATCTTCACGGGAACGTTACGGTTTTCGGCGATTCTCGGCCCAGTGCCCCGTGCCCCCACAGTTCGGGGCCAGCTCAGGGGGGCCAGCTCAGGGGAGGAAGCATCGCGTTGCAATCGGCGATGCATCGCCCACAGATCGGCGACAGGTCCCGATAGCAAAACTACACGTTCCTAGGCGGGGTGGGCTATCAGGCCCCTATCTTGGGCGCCCGAGTTATCCGGGGTAACTCGGGTCCGGGGTAACTCGGGTTTGGATTCCCGAAAAAGGAACCCGAGTTATCCCTGACCCGAGTTACCCCTGATGATTCGGGGCTCTTGGACGCCCGAGTTATCCGGGGTAACTCGGGTCCGGGGTAACTCGGGTTCGGATTCCCGAAAAACGAACCCGAGTTATCCCTGACCCGAGTTACCCCTGATGATTCGGGGCTCTGACTATCTGCGACGAATGCGCGTTCAAAGACCACTGCGTCCCTGGGGTAACAAACAAACGTGCCGACACCGCTGCTCCCCGGACCTCTCTCTTCCGGGGTGCGCTCCGACCAGCACTTCCAAGAACATCCAGCCGTGGCGGCGAGAAAAAACCTCCAGGACGAGCAGCGGCATCGGAATCCCTCGGGGATCGACGGAACCCCCTTCCGTAAGACGCGGTTTGGTGAACACGACCGCGGGCCCAAACCTGGCGGGCGCAGGCCTGGAAAAGGACGGCCGCGGCGCCCTCTCGAGGACCGAGAATGGACAAGTCGCGAAACTCGGCACGTCGGGGTGGGGGGTCCGTCCGCGGCGAACCTCCTCCTCCTCCTCCTCCTCCTCCGAATCCCGCCCCGAGCCCACGCGGCCCCGACGTTGCCCCCGACAGACGGCCGTGGCAGACCCCTGGCCCCCCCCTGGCCTGCCCCGCGGCCCCCAGGCTCGGGCGCGGCCGCTCTCTGCGTCTGAGAATCGTGCATCCGACCCCCATCCCCAGCGGCGTGGCCTGGGCTGCACTGGCCGATCTACCAACCTGGATGGGCATATAGGCTGTTCCCTTCGGGGTTCGAGGGGTGTATCCCCAACTGGGGTGGCAATTTGGTGGGGGTCTCGAAGGGGATGGGGATGGGAGTGGGGATCGGATGAACGATACTGAGCGTCGGCGCCCGCCTGCGCCGTCAGCACCGCGGTCGAGAAGTTGCAGCACGAAGCGGTCACCGCCCGCACCCTCCCGGGTCGCCAGAGAGAGGCGGCGGAAAAGGGCACCACCCCGCTCGAAGGGCCAAGTGGGAGACGGAGCCGATCAGAGAAAGAAACGGTACCGATACGATATGTTCGCGCGGCGTCGGCGCGCGCAGAGGTTTTTGACTCCGCCTCGATCGCTTAACCTTGAATCGATCGCGGCCCCGATCGTTCAAGGTTGAATTCAGTCGGGTCCAATGGCGTCACCGTGTCCCTTGGTGTCCCCCCGTCTCAGAATTGAACCTTGAACGCCTTCGCCAGCGTCACCGGCGCGTCAACGCCGCACGAACCTACAGTACCGCTGCGCTTCACCCGTCGCAGCGGCTGCATCCGCCTCGGAATGCGGGTCGGGACGCGCCCAGGGAGAGGGCCGCAAAACATCGATATCCGCACGTGTCTTGCTACTCCCTCAGATGCAGGAGAAGGGCGAGGAGGGAGGACCGGACCTCCCCGCTTCTTCAAAGAAGCGTGGTGGAAGGACTTTGGCACATTTCGGCCTCTGGGGGCCACGCCCCACAACTGGTTGGGGATGAGACGCCGATGCTAGGGAAGCGGTCGAGACATCTGGGGAGCAGGTAGGGGAATGCGTAGGGAAGGACCACTGACCAAAGTTCCAGGTCTGCGAGCGGACAGACCGACATTAGATAGTCCTTCGGGGCTAAGGGGATTGTCTATGGGACGGTATCCTCTGCTTGGGGAAAACTCGACTTGCAGCCTGCACGTGGGGGACGGCAGCGATGGCTGGCCCTGTTTATCAGCCCATCCATTCTCCGAGACTCAGGGGTTGCGTCCAGAAGGGGTTACATCCCCTCCAAGGGCGAGGGCGAGGACGAGCGCCGATGCCGCCTCCGCGTGCGGAACGCGCAGGCAACCGGGGAGACCGTGCAACTGCCCGCACTGACGCAGGGACAGGAACGACCCATACGCGAGAAGGGTGAGCCGGGGGGCCTTGTGCATCGGTTGAATCGGTCAATGGGACGGGAAGAACGCAGCGGCAACGTGTGCGCCCCGAGCCGGCCAGCACCGTGCGCGGGAAGAAGGACGAGCCCGCGCAGGCGGAAAGCCACGCCAGAAACGCGAGGCTGAATGCCTGGTCTCGACCACCCCTCAACGGTCTCGTGCTCCGCCGCGCGCGTTGGCACCAGCGCGCCCTGGGGGGCAGCAGCCCCCGTCCCCTCCCCGCCCCCTCCTGACCGCTTCTCAATCCCCCAGGCACGGCCCCATCAAGAAGAGGAGAAGTGTGATACAACAAAAACAAGTGTGATCAACAACAAGTGTGATACCAAAACACCTGTTGTGTCTCATTGCGCTTGTTCTTTATCACACATGTTTTCTATCACAATTGCTTTTTATCACACTTGTTGTTATCACACTTGCCCTCGGCATGCCGTGGGTCCTCCGCTCGCGCGCTCCGCGCGCCGGGGCGGGCGGCGCCAGAAGCGCCGCCAGGGGGGGTCCAGCACCGTCCCAAGAACTCCGGGCGGACCTCCGAGAGTTTGTATGAGAATGTAGCTGCCCTGCTTTTATGATTCGGCTCACGCTTCTGGATGCGTCTCTCCCCTGTCTCTCCCCCTCACCATCCCCTCCTCCTCCTCCTCCTCCTCCTCCTCCTCCTCCTCCTCCTCCTCCTCCTCCTCGGTCCCCTCACCTGGTCCCTTTTGCCTGGCGTGCCGCGGCGGCGGCCGAGTTATGTTGTGGAAGCGGATGCAGCGTTGCTCCACTCCGCGGGGCCGGCAGCTGGGAAGCGCTCGGGGCGCTGGCGCTTGTGGACCGGGAGCGCGGTTTAGCGTGGACGGCGTCGAGGCGCGGTGGGCCAGAATCTGCGGCGCGGCACGCTACGCAACCGCTCTTGACCGTATCCACCTCTGGCGCTGCCCTCTGGCTTTCGGGCCAGCACTCGGCACTCCGGCAGCCGTGTCGGGACGATGCTGGCACTTCCAGGGCGTCCTCGGCGAGGCGCAGCTGACGGAAGGCCTCCCGAGGCTGGAAAACCGCCGACCACCGACAAGAACGTCCGACAACCTCAAACCCTGAGGTATGCGTTCCCAACCGTACCCATCGGTCGGAAGAAGTAGGTAGAAACATGAAGTAGGAAGGCGTTGGGAATAGATTGGGCTTCCGCCCGCCTCTCGAAGAGGAGGGAAGAGGGAGAATCACTCGACTCTTGAAGTAGGAAGGCGCTGAAAGTAGATTGGAATCTGGGAATCCACAAATACCTGCTTTCAACGACCGATGGGTATCTCCGCACACCTCTCTTTTTCCCCTGCCTCCCGCCCCGCGCGGTCGGCGGGCCACAGCCTTGCGCTCCCCCCCCCCCCCGGCCCCCGTCCTCTTGCCGAACAGCTCCATGACGACGGTGGGCCTGGCCGCACAAGGGGGGGGGGGAGCGAGGGACGGTAAGAGCAAAGAGGGGGGGAGGAGGAGGAGGAGGAGGAGGAGGAGGAGGAGGAGGAGGAGGAGGAGGAGGAGGAGGAGGAGGAAGAGGAGAAGGACGACGAGGAGGAGGTGGAGGAGGAAGAGGAGGAGAGAGAGGTGGCGGGGGAAGAAGAGGAGGACGAGGTGGAGGAGGAGGTGGAGGAGGAGGAGGAGGGGCAGGGGGGGGAGGATTCTGGGATTCTGGGCTGGCCCCGCGCCCGTCCGCGAAGCGGCACGAGGTCCAGGCAGCGAGGGGAAAACAGGCGGCAGCCAGCGGCGGCGACAAAGGCGACGACGAACACGACGTACAACGACGACGTACAACGACGACGTACAACGACGACGTACAACAACGGCGACGGCGACGACGACGACCACCGACGACGGCACGACGAGACGACAACAGAACGGCTGCAGCGAGGCGACCGACGACGACGACTGGGGGGAGGGGGGGAGAGAGAAGCGCGAGTCGCCACGAGAAATCGCCAATAGCCGAGTCCTCATCAGCATCATCATCAGCATCCTCATCATCATCATCCTCATCATCATCCCCACCATCATCCTCGTCCTCATCCTCATCTTCGTCCTCATCATCGTCATCGTCATCGTCATCGTCATCGTCATCATCATCATCATCATCATCAGCATCATCATCAGCATCAGCATCAGCATCAGCACCATCATCGTCATCATCATCATCATCATCATCATCATCATCATCATCATCATCATCATCATCATCATCATCATCATCATCATCATCATCATGCCGTCCTGCGTGAGCGCGTGGGAGGAAACTGGCTTCGAAGGTGGAGCCATGGAGCTAAATCGGCGATACCTCGCCGATCGATCGGCGACCGGCTCCCGTCAACGACAACAGCACGCTCCTAGGCCAGGTGGGCTATCGCTTATTTCGGACCCCTGACGACGATGAGTGGGCCATGAGGGGCCGGTGCGCTTCTAAGCCGAAGCTAAGACCAAGACAAAGCCGGACCGGGACCAAATCGGTGATCTCTGCGATCTGGCGGTCCTGGAGGCGCCGCAGCCGTCCCGGAGCGCTCCGGCACGCTCCAGAACAAGTGATCCCAGCCCTGGCCCCGCCCGATCCCGCCGGAGCCCACCCCCAACTCACTGTTGCCCCTGGGTGGAGCCCGTTCTGCTCTCCTTCGCGATGTATGCCCGGGACCGGCCCCGCCCCGCCCCCTCCCCCCCCCCGGCCACGCCACGAGTCGCGCCAGCGGCGACTCAGAATTGGCCAGTCCTCGGGGTATTTTCCCAGACGACGCAGGCGCGAGTCGTGACGTGGCCAGCCCCCATCCCCCCCCGACCTCCCCCTCCCCAGCCCCGTGTCACGCCCGTTGTCGTCAGGGGTTGGAAAAAAAACTGTCTCGCAAGCGAGGAGGAGGACGACGGAGACGGGCACCTGGCCTGGTCACGTAGGCGAAGCCGCTCCCGGACTTGGGGTCCACGTCCCACGTGTGCACCTCGCGGTCCTGACACGCAGGGGAAGAGGGGGGAGGAAGGAAGGGGGGAGGGGAAGGGAAGAAAACATGTCTGGGAAGGCAAGGGGGGGAAAGATGGAAAGAAGGGGAGAGGAAGGAAGGGGGAACTGACGGAAGGGGGGAAGGAAGGCAGGGGGGAAGGAAGAGAGGGAAGGAAGACGGGAAGGAAGGAAGGGGGGGAGAGGGGAGCACGTGACCTGCTGAGCTGCTCAGGCCCCTCCTGGCTGGGCTGCAGAAGCCCGCAGACTGCTGCGGACCCAGAGACACGCCCACGCCAAAGCGCGGTACTCCCTCCTCCCCCTCCCTGTAGTGGGCGCCGCGGCCTTGTCCAGAGCGCTCCAGATTGCTCTGAGAGCGTCCTGGAAAGCTCATCCGAGGCCTGCCTGACTGCATCTTCCTTGCACAGAACTCCTCCCCTGTCTCACCCCCAGACGTGTGAGTAGGGCGGGCTGGGCGTTTGGACTGCCATCACCATTGATGATCCTGATGATTGAAATCCCACCAGACCTCAGGGCGTTGGTTGTCTGACGAATTCTGTCTACCCTCTTTCAAAAACCCTCTTCTCTTCGAGGGGGTACCCTTTCCCTCCCCTCCCTGAGGTTTCTGTTGGGAGGGGGGTCGCGAGCGGTCAGGGCGCCCAATATGGCCCAAGATGGCTCCAAGAGGGCATCCGATGCTACAAGATGGCCTCCAATATGGCCCCAGGTTGCCGAGGATGGCTCATGATGGCTTCCCACATACCTCCAGGAGGCCCGACGAAAACTTGGAAACATGGGAATCAGCAACGAAACGCTGGTTCCTTTATCGTTTTCGGATGTCTGGTGGAGACCTGCAAATGCTTGAAACACGACTTTCAAATACGCCGAGCTGAATATGCTTGAAATACACCCAGGGCAGATTCAAGGTGATTCAAGGTGATCACAACAGAACGCAGAAAGGCATAGCCCTAAACTCTCTGAGGTCCGCACAGATTTCACAAATCATCGCTGGCCCCCCGGGGAGCGGCGCTGGAGGCGCTGCCAGCGGGGGCCAGCGACGATCCGAAACATCCGAGCGGACCTCCGAACATGTATGTCCGTCTATGTCATATTCCTTCTTCGACCAGAAGAGAGGGATAGAAAGACCACGCAGGAGTAGTGTGTGACGCCCTCCGCCGAAGAGGGGCTGACCAAGCGGGCTGCAGTCCTCCGTGCTGCCATGCCCCAGCTGGCCCATGTCTGCGGCTCCCCAGGTGAAGACCTACCGCGGCTCCTTCTCCTCCTCAGCATCTTCCTCCTCCTCCTCCTCCTCCGCCTCCTTCTCCAATTCGCGATCCACTCTTTGCAGCCCCCTGTGCTTCAGCGAGGAAGGAGAAGGTGGAAGCAGGATCGAAAGAAAATCGCGTCGGATGTATTTCTTAGATTTCGGCCTCTGGAGACGCCCTTCGGGCGGGGCCGCCAGAATCAGTTCAGGAGGAAAAATTGGTCAGCATTGTCCCCACCAGGAGGGGTCCGGATGTTGACTTTGCTCGCAGGCAGGCAGAAAACAACGTCATACAGGGACACCTCGAAGTCCCTGAGAAGCGGCTGGCGTGGAGTACGTTTCGGGTGATGCAGCCGTTCCAGAGCGTTCTGGAGCGCTCTGGCGCGATTTGTCTTCATCCTAAGGTTGTGGATGCCATGACAATGGTCACTCTAACAATCCTATCATTGAACCAAACATGTGTTTAAAATGTGTAAAACATGTTATACACATGTTTCCGACCTATGTGTTACACATTTGAAACATGTTTGAAACATGTTTGAGAGACATCTGGCAATCACTTGCGTCCATGCTCACTCTCCATTATATCGACTTCCACAACCCTACGGATGCTTGCCACTCCCGCTTCTCCTTCCCCTCCTTCTTCCTCTGGCTCCTCGTGCTCGTCCTAAGAGCGCATGCTTCCTCTCCACAAGTCGACTTCCACAACCCTGAGGATGCTTGCCACTCCCGCTTCTCCTTCCCCTCCTTCTTCTGGCTCCTCGCCCACGTCCTAAGAGCGCACGGTCTTTCGCGATGGCGGCCGTCACCGGCCCCGGCCGCCCCCCCTTCTCCCCCCCAGGTAGCGTCCCGATTCGGCTGACCTCCGGGGCTGGCCATCGCTCGGACGTCCATTCCCTGTGCTTTTTGTTCGGTTTCGTGCGTGGCTTTTTTTCGCAGGGTGATCCAGGATGCTCCTCCATAATCCCCGCCGGGAAGAAGTGCACACGCCCGAGCGACACCAAGTGGGTTTCCCCTCAACATTCCCAAACGGCGCAGGCGTGCACCGTGACGTTACCGGGCCCCCGCCCCCCCTCCCTCCCCCCATGTAACGCCCATTATCGCCTGGGGAAAGAAAACGCTCTCTCATCATGTTCACCACCGTGCTGGACGTCGTGTTCATACCTTCCACCTCCCGCGCCCCGTTCCCCTCCAACTCTCTTCGCCTCCCCTCCGCTTCTCTTCCCTCCACTCTCCATCACCTTCCTCTTTCCCTCCCCCCTCAATCCTCCCTCTCTCGTCCGTGGGGGTCCACGTGAACGGCATCCCCTGGAGAAGCGCATACCTTGAGGCAAGCAAAGTATCTCCAAACTTTCAGAGTCGTCTCGACGCGCGACTCGTTGTTGGAGGTATGGCGTCGCAGCTGGACGCCGATACGCGGCTCCAAGGAGGAGGAGCAGGAGGAGGAAGAGGAGATGGAGGAGGAGGAGCCAGCGGCTCCCAGCACCCCTCCCCTCTCACCCTTCCTCGCTCCTTCTCTCTTCTCCCCCTCCTTCATACCTTCCCCGCGCGCCGCGGACTCCTTCCGCGCCAGACCAAGCTAATGGATCAAGGATCCAATGGCGCAGCGTAGCAAGCAAGCAAGCAAAATCCAACAATCATTTTAAGACTGTTCGCTCTTACCTGCCCGCGTGCCGTTCAACACGCGTATCCCGAACCCTTGACACCCGCCCCCTTCGTCTTCGACCGCAACCCCCCTTGGAGGGTGTAGTTGACGCAGCCACTAACCCAGGGGAGGGGAGGGAGGATGGAAGGAAGGGACATGGGGGAGGAACGATGGAGCTCGATGGAGATTGGCAGGGGGGGGGGTCAGCACGCAGCAGAAGCCAAGCGGCAGAACCAGACGGGGCGGGCTGGGCGGGGCGGACCCCGATGGGCGGGCCGGGCGGGCGAGCCCCGGGCGGCAGGGTCGAGCGGACGGGTTGCCGAGGCGTCGTGTCCTGCATGAATCGCGAGGACGTCTCGAGCGATAGCGCGATTCCCAAGTTCATCGCGAGGGAGTCCACCGCGAAGACATGATTCCTGAGTGTCGTGGGCGCGGCGTCCGATGAGGTTGCGAGACGTTCCACGCGAGGGCGCGCTTCCTGCCTAGCATGCGAGGAAGTCCCGCCCGAGAGCGCGATGATGCATGAGTCATGGAGCAATCTCTGGCGGGAGCCGCCTTCTTGATACAACCAGGCGGCGAGGGGCCCAGACTGAGCCTCCGCACTCCCCCCTTGTTTACAAAAATAGGGTGCGTGCAGCAGGAGGGACACTTGAGTTGATGAACACAACGAGCACCGGAAGGGGGGAACAACAACAATTACCCGGCGGTCGGAAGAAGTAGGTAAAAACATGAAGTAGGAAGGCGTTGAAAGTAGATTGGGTGTCCGCCCGTCCCCTAAGGAGGACAGAACAGGTGAAGCCACTCGATCATTGAAGTAGCAGGCGCTTGAAGTATATTGGAATCTGGGAGTCCAGAAACACCTACCTCTAACGACCGATGGGTATTCTTAAGAAATATGGACTCAAAATGGCAAACACTTCTCTGAGGTCCGAGCGGGCTTCTTGGGTCGGCGCCGGAGGCGCCGCCAGGGGGGCGCCGATCCAGGAAATCCGCGCGGACCTCTGAAACATCACGTTTGCGAGTGCCGCCTTTTGTTGCCCGAACTACAGTCGAAGCGCTGCCATAAGGAACCCCAAAGAAGGAACGAGGTCCCTGTTTCCACAAATGAAGCTCCGATTCCCCACGGAAGACCTAACACAAAAAACACAAGGACACATGTAAAACACTGGAGGAGCACCGAGCCCCTCCCCAACGAAGAGGCTTCCTTCTTCAGCGGCCCGACTAAGTGGAGGCCAGTCCACAAGAAACCTTTCACAAGAAACCCGACCCTGAGACCCCAGGACGTTCATCGATCCTCGGCGTGGGAACGTCACGCTTTCCATCGCAAAACCATCGAAACCCAAGAAACCCAGGGCACCCTGGAGGCAAGCAGGGTGTTTCTTGGCATGGGCCTCCACTGTATACAAGGAGAGATCACTCAGAGCTCGGGCCACCAGTCGGGTCCCCGGCGGCGGTGCGGGACGACTCGGGCACCCCCGGGCAGCTCTCGCCGAGGCGCAGCTGCTGGATGGCGTCCCGAGGCAGGAACACCTCCATGGTGGGCCGACTATCCACCACCACCACCACCACAGGTAGGAGAGGGAGGAGGGGGAGTAGGAGTAGGAGTAGGAGTAGGAGTAGGAGTAGTAGTAGGAGGAGGAGGAGGAGGAGGAGGAGGAGGGGGAGTAGGAGGAGGAGGAGGAGGAGGAGGAGGAGGAAGAGGAGGAGGGGGAGGAGGAGATCTCCCCCCTTCCTACCCATGGTGGAAAATTGGCCAATCACTCCAGGAACCATCGGAGACTTCCCAAAACGTTCCGAACGCGCCGAGATCGGCGACTCCAAGGAGTGTGGTTTGCAAAAGGGTGTGGTTTGCATCCGGGACCCCGGGGAACATCCTGAGGGGCACCTTGGGAGGCGCACGGAAACCTCGACAGACTTGTGGATGCCATGACAGTGGACACTCCAGCAATCCGACCATTGAGTTATCAATGTTGAAAAATATGTAAAAACATGTTCTAAACATGTTTCAAACATGTTTCCACATATCTAAAACATGTTTGAACCATGTTTTAGACACCTGGGAATTATTTGGCGGCATGCTGCCTCTCCACTAGTCGACTTCCACAACTACAGAGTTCCCCCGCGCCCCGAGGAGGCGAGACGAGGGCAGTGCCGTGCCCCCCCAGGCCCCAACGGTGCCGATCGCACACCACACCCCGGCGCAACCACACCCTCTGATGTCGCCGACCAGCTGTCCCTCCAGAAGGGCGACCATCGGCCTCCCGCGGCACCCCGGCCCCGGAGCTGGGCAGCTGCGCTCTGGAGAGGGCCCCTGGGGTCTGGAGAGGGCCCATGGTCGAACACACGCGAGAGCGGCGATCCGGAACGGGTCTTGCGCGAGGTGGCGCAGCGACCCTACGCCGCGGCTTGCGCGGGGGCCGCCAGCGCAGCACGCTGCAGTGGAGACGAAGGCGCTCACGCGCGAACTTACGCGGCAAGCTTCGGCGCCAATGCCGGCGCAGATGGCCCTGGTTCTTGTTTCTGCGTGGCGCACACGGGCAGGAGGAGCGGACTGGACGGAGGGCGGGAGGCCCCGCCGGCTCCCGCCGCCGCCTCGAAGAGGGGGCCGCAAGGAAGGAGGGGGGCCTCGAAGTATGACCGCATGGCCTCGTCGGCTGGTCGGCCAGGGAGCCCAGTGCACACAGCAGACAAGGGTACGATTCCGAATCTTGCATGAGTTCTGTTGGGGCACAGTCTTCACCGATGCTCGACAGTCCGGACCTGCCCCAGAGCTTCTGCGGGCCCCTGGGGCCATCGGGCGACCTCGGGAGCTTCCGGGGGGGCACCTCTGCGGGCAGGCCGACCTCTCTTGCTCGACGCGGCCACCGCAGACGCCCCAGCTTCCAGAGCCGTGGGATGCAGCGGAATCGAGGCACAGACCCTCCCCGCCGAGTTCCTGGGCTCCCCTGCAATGACGCGGGAGGCGCTCTCGGGCTCTGCAGGCTGCCACCTCGCCTGGCCAGGGCCATCCGCGGCCCCGTGGATGGTGTATAGACTTATGTTGCTCCCATCGTACTTGAGGACCATCTCCCAGAAACAATTTCGAGCACCCAGAAAAGTGTCGACACAGTGTCGAACGAACATTGCCTCTCAGGGCTCGACGCGTGAAAACCCTCTCAAGTCTCGGTACTATCTTGGTGCTCGAAAATCTTTCTGGTGGCCAAAGATAAAGTCGGTTGGAACATTATACGGTGGAGGCCAATCCAATCCGCAAGAAACCTTCCGCAATAAACCCAACACTGAGACCCCAGGACGTCCCTTGATTTTGGGGCGTGGGAACGTCGCGCTTTCCATCGCAAGACCATCGAAACCCAAGAAACTCAGGGCACCCTGGAAGCAAGCAAGGTGTTCCTTGGCATGGGTCTCCACTGTAGACGCTCCTTGGCACCGTGCGAGGGCCCAGGGTGGTCCTGGCCAGGCCTGGCGGTGTCTGATAAGCGTCCTCTGCGACGAATCCCCCAGCCGACCAGACGGGGCAAGGTGCACTTCGAGCCCCTCCGACAGGAGTAATGGCAACAGCAAGACGTAGGCTTAGGTCGGGCGTGTCCTCCAACGGGCCGATTTGGGAGGACAAATCAAAAACGGTCAAACAAAGTGAACAAACATGGTCAACACATAGTCGAAAATTCGTCGCCAGACTATGTGTTGACAATGTTTTGATGTCCCTCCTGTAGAGGGACATGCCCGACGTAAGCGTGAGCATCCGCTGCTCGAGGTCCGCGCAGAGTCCTCGGGTCCCCTCGTTGGCGCGCCCACGGGGCAGCGCAGGCTTCTCCGCGCGGACACCTCCGACCCGAGAGGGCCCGCGCGGACCTCCGACAGACCATGTGCTTTGCGGCCGTGTGTTGCCCCCTTCGGTGCAGAGGCGATCCCCCTATGAGGAATATCCTGGAGGCCTCGCGCGGCAACTTGAGACCCGACTTACGTCGCATCCACGTCGGATTTACGTCGGGATCACGTCGGACTTGCGCCGGGATTGCGTCGGATCTACGTCGGGCTTGACTCCGGAGCATCGCCGCGCGAGCGTCGACCCATAGCTTACGGAGCTGACGTGTGGATTAGATAATATTAGTATTACGCGCCGCGCGAGGCCACCAGGATTTTCCTCATAACTCTTTGGTGCAGAGGCGAGCCCCCACCGACGCCCCTCAGTCAAGGCCGTGCACGTCGCTCAGCGGCAACACGGCCCTGGCCGGCACGTCGGTGCATCATTCGGCAGCAGGACGGCGACAACCGCACTTAAAGACACCGAGCTGGGCCCCAGGCCTGCTCTGGGCCCAGGGATCGGTGTGTACGTCCGCCTGGGCCAGCCAGGACGGCGCCATCGCCGATCTCGAGCCCAAGACGTCGTGGGGGCGGGGGGGAGGGGGAAACGTGGGGTGGAGAAGCGGAGGAGGAGGAGGAGCAGGAGGAGGAGGAGGAGGAGGAGGAGGCGGGGGAAGAGGAGGAGGAGGAGGAGGAGGAGGAGGCGGGGGAGGAGGAGGAGGAGGGGGGATGAGGAGAAGGAGTGAGGAGGGTGAGAGGAGGAGGAGGAGGGGAGGAGGAGGGCGGATGAGGAGGAGTGCACCGGTCCCTCACCCTGGTGCGCCCGCGGCGGGAGTTCGGGGGAAGGTCACAAGGCCCCTTCAGAGCAGTGCTCCTGTAACCCTCGAGCCCCCTGCATCGGGAGCCTGTTTTCCACCACCACCACCACCAGAAGTTGGAGGGGGAGGGGGGCCTCCTCCTCCTCCTCCTCCTCCTCCTCCTCCTCCTCCTCCTCCTCCTCTTCCTCCTCGCCCTCCTCCTGCTCAACCTCCTCCTCCTCCTTCTCCACCTCCTCCTCCTCTTCGTCCTCCTCCTCCTCGTCCTCCTCCTCCTTCCCCCCTCCAACTTATGGTGCTGGTGGTGAAAAACAGGCCCATCACATCGGGAACGCGCAAACATGGAACGCGCAAACATTTGGCGCCTCCCCGAAATGCGGTCGGTGCCGCCTCGTTCGGCGGCGGAGGTTCGCGATTTCCCATGGAAACAGGACCCGTCGCTAATCCACGCCCCCTTGATCCATGGCGATCGCCTGGCTACAGTCGGACCTAGGACAGAATAACATCCCTCAAGAGCATGGGACCCTACGCCGGCAAGCTGGAGAGAACTTTGGAGGGTGCCCTCCCCCAGGATGCACCAAAACATCCAACAAGCATGAAAAACATTTAGGGTACCCTCCCCGAGCCGACCTCGATCTTATACCTCGGTCCGACGGCACCCATCGGTCGGACGAAGCAGGTAGGACCATGAAGCAGGAAGGCGTTGAACATAGATTGGGTGTCCGCCCGCCCCCTAAGGAGGACGGAAAAGGTGGAGCCACTCGATCATTGAAGTAGGAAGGCGCTTGAAGTAGATTGGAATCTGGGAATCCAAAAATACCTACTTTCAACGACCGATGGGTACACCTCTGTCCGACTGTACGGTTGTCGTCGTCCACACAAGTGCCCTCTGAGGATGCTCGGCCGACCACACTTGGCGGCGCGCACGAGGGGGTGGCGCAAGGGGGGCGCCTCCTAACCAGGCCGGGGGCTTCTTAGAGTTAGGTAGGGCATGTCATCCTACAGGCGAATTCTGGAGGACAAATAAAAAGTAGTCAAACCATATTCGAAAATAGTCAAACGTAGCCCAAACATCGTCCCCAGACTATCATTGACAATTTTCGAATATGTGCATATATATATAGAACCATCGCGCGCGCTTCGCGCGCGCGCTCAAGTTCTAGCTAGGCTTGATAGGCTAACTCATGTAATATCATCTTGGTCGCTTCTTGCGTCCAGGGACTCCCTTGGAGGCCCCACGCAAGCCTCGGAATCGTAAAGACGGGGAAGTGCGGAAACGCAGAGATCATGCATTTCTTTGAGGTGTTCAACGATTTGGGGCCCTGAAAGGCTTCCTGGATTCTTTTTGGGGAGGTGAGGGGGGTCTGGATTGTGGTCTGTTGTGCAAGAGTAGACCAGGGGCCAAACTTGGAATACAAGGAATTGTGGGATTTCCACTTTTTCCAGTTCCTCGGCACTTTTCGGCGCTGTTTTTTGTTTGTGCCTCGCGGGTTTTGTTAGCCGGGCCTCTCAGGGGTGTGGGATCTTCCGGACCCCCTGGGGAGGCCTCCTGGAGGCCTGGAGAGCCGTCGGAAGGGTGTCTCGGGCTGCGTGGGAGCGTGTTGGGCCGTTCTTTACGTTCTGGGGGCTCGTTGGGGTCGTCTTGGGCTGTTCTTGGGCGTCTTGGGGGCCCCCCGGGAAGCCAGGAGGCCCTCTCTTCGGGGCTCCTTGGGAGGACCCCAGGAGCCCCGAAGAGAGGGCTCAAGAATGGGCCCTCTGAGCCTCAACGAGAGCTCCAGAGTGGCTGAAGAGTGCTTCCAAGCGGGGCTGCTTGGGTCGGTCTCTGAGATGGCCGGGGGGCATTGTGGCAGAGGGCCCGTCCTGGGTCCGCCTTGCGCTTGTCTTGGGAAGCTTTTGGGCGGTCTTGGGGCGGTCTTGGGAGTCTCTCGGTCGTCTCTGAGAAAACCAAAAGGTTCGGAACCAAATATTGAAATTCAATAATTGTTGTTGCTCTCCAGGCTCTCTCAGGACGTCTCTCGGAGTTCTCTTGCAGTGTCTTGGAGGCGTCTGGGGGCCTCCTGGGAGTCTGGAGAGCCGTCCACAGACTGTTTTGCACTGCTTGAGAGCATCTTCGGCTGTTCTTTTGCATTCTGGAGGGTTCTTGGGGCTGTCTTGGGGCGTCCTGGAGGGTTTTGGGAGCTCCCCGGGAAGCCGGGGAGCGCGGTATTGGGCGACTCTTCGGCAATTTGGAGGGTTTGTTGGCCCGTCTTGGACCCATCCTGGGAGTCTTTTGGGTGGCCTTGGGGCGGTCTTGGACCGTGAGAAGCTCGAAAACGCGAGACGGCCCAAAACATAAAAACATGTTCCCAATCGACGATTTTAGCCTCTTCGGGCCTTCCCGGGACGCCTCTCGGACCTCTCTTGGGGCCTTTTGGAGGCCTCCTGGGAGCGTGGAGAGAGCCGTCTACAGGGTGTTTTGGACTGCTTGGGAGCGTCTTGGGCCGTTCTTTACGTTCTGGGAGTTTCTTGGGGTCGTCATGGGCTGTCCTTCGGCGTCTTGGGGTCTCCTCAAGAAACCCGGAGGCGAGGTACCGGCCAAATGTCAGGGGATGTGTAGGACCCCTGGGTAGGAGTTCCATTTTTACCTAACAGCGTAGACTGATAGGTTTCTAATTGACTCAAAAGAGCTCACAGATCACTCCACAGGGGGGTCCGGGCAGGCGTTGGGAGTTGCCGGCCGGTAGGGTGCCGGGCCTGTGCCGGGCTCGTTTTTCACCAACAGTCACACAATTCGTGCTCTTCGACCTCCCAGAACTCCATTCCCAGGCCACATTCTGAATAACCGGAGCCAACTGTAGGCCACTTCGTGCTCTTCGACTTCCCAGAACTCCATTCCCGGGCCACATTTTGAATGCCCGGAGCCAACTCTAGGCCACTTCGTGCTCTTCGAGTCCCCAGAACTCCATTCCCAGGCCACATTTTGAATGCCCGGAGCCAACTGTAGGCCACTTCGTGCTCTTCGAGTTCCCAGAACTCCATTCCCGGGCCAGATTTTGGATGCCCGGAGCCAACTGTAGGCCACTTCGTGGTCTTCGAGTTCCCAGAACTCCATTCCCGGGCATGAATTTGATGCCCGGAGCCAACTGTAGGCCACTTCGTGTTCTTCGAGTTCCCAGAAGAACTTCATTCCCGGGCCACATTTTGAATGCTGAGGCAGGCTGAGGCTGAGGCTGAGGCAGGCTGATGCTGAGGCAGGCTGAGGCTGAGGCTGAGGCTGATGCAGGCTGAGGCTGAGGCAGGCTGAGGCTGAGGCCGAGGCTGAAGGCAGACTGAGGCTGAGGCTGAAGCAGGCTGAGGCTGAGGCTGAGGCAGGCTGAGGCTGAGGCAGGCTGAGGCTGAGGCTGAGGCAGGCTGAGGCTGAGGCTGTGTCTGTGACTGCCGTTGCCACTGCGACTGTCATCGCGAATGCGACTACGACTGCGAGAACAGCACAATTCTACAACTGGATTCTCATCTGAATCTTAAGGGGAATGCTTCCAGATATGCTCCTACACATCGCTGTTAGGTTGCTTTGCCGGGATAATTTAAATGGAATTCCTGGAATTCTGTTGTTTTGTCTCTTTCAAAATCCTCGACCTTTGAGGGTTGAGAGCGGGAAAACGTGAGAAGGCGAAAAACATTGGAAAAAACAATTGGAAATCAAACATTTTACACTCTTTGGGCTCTCTCGGGACGGCTCTCCCAGCTCTCTTGGGCTGTTCTTGGAGCCTCGTCGGGGTCTCTTTTGGAGCCTCTCAAGGATCTGGGGTGTGTGGGGGGCCTCTGCAGGGGGGTCCCGGAGGCCTCTCGGAGGTCTCTGGAAGCCTCCTGCTCCCGCTCTTGGGCCCATCTTGGGCCTGTGCTGGGGTGGTCTGGGGCTGTCCTGGGCGCCTCTTCGGCAGTCTTGGAGCCTTCTTGGCCCGTCTTGGGGCCGTCCTGAGGGTCTCTTGGGTGGTCTTGGGGCGGTCTTGGGAGCCTCTTCGACGCTCTTGGACCGTTGGGAGCTCGAAAACGCGAGAAGCCAAAAACATAGGGGGAAAAACAAATCGACGAATTTGGCCTCTTCGGGCTGTCCCGGGACCCCTCTCGGACCTCTCTTGGGGCCTTTTGGAGGCCTCCAGGGAGCGTGGAGAGAGCCGTCTACAGGGTGTTTTGGACTGCTTGGGAGCGTCTTGGGCCGCTCTTTCACATTCTGGGGGCTCCTGGGAAGCGTCTTGGGCACTCTTGGAGCGCTGTGGAGGCTCCCCAGAAAGGCCGGGGGAGCGGTATCGGGAGCGTGCCCGAGATGTCACGGGGAGGTGTGGGACCCGGGAGGAGGCGGTATTTATGGATAATAATGATAAAACGAAGGGTAATACGTATCATCATTAGTCGTACGATTACTGCTATTATTATTATACCGATCGCGCGCATCGTTTAACCGATCGCTGTCCCCACCCCGCGTGGCCTGGGCCCCACTGGCCGGTTTTACCCCCCCCCCCCCCCGGATGGGGATATAGGCTTAGGTCGGGCATGTCCCCCTACAGGCGGATTTGGGACGAAAAATAAAAACAGATTCAAGAAATATTCTAAAATACTCAAAAATAGTAAAATCGTCCCCAGACTATTTTTGTATCATTTGTTGATATTCCTCCTGCAGAGGGACAGGCCCGACTTAAACATGGGCAGCTCCTGTCAGATTTCGAGGGGCCTATCCCCAACCGAGGGGGGAGGAGGTGGTGAGGCTCTGGATGGGGAAAAGGGGGATGGGGGTCGGTGAAACGATACTGACAGATCTCCCGGCTCCCGAGAGAAGGCCGCGCCCCGCTCGCCGCTCGCCAGGCCCCTCCTCGTGCGTGCCGCCGACGGACGTCGTGGCATGCGCGCGCCGAGGCAGCGCTCCTCTTCGGCAGGTGGCGGCTTAGCTGCCCCGATACGCGTATTGATACGGAGCTCAACACGTAGACTGAATGCATAGGTCTGACGCGATGCGCTCGCCCTGTACGTGGGCCAATACGTTGCGCCAACACGCAACGTATTGACACGGACGTCTTGAACACGGCACGTGCCGCGTACCAAAGCGGGCGCATCGAGGCAGCTAAGGGTGGCGGGCGGCCCCCGCGCCCGCGCACGCGCTCACTCGAAGCCGTGCACGTCGCTGGGCGGCAGGGCGCCCCTCTCGCGCGCCTCCCGGATGAAGCCCACGAGCGGGGGAACGAAGAGTGACGGATCATCGGCGGTGGACAGGCCTCCCTTTCGTAAACCACCCTTTAGTGAAAACGGCCGGGGGCCGAGGCCGACGGACCTGGACCCGCAGAATTGACGGGCGCGACGCCCTCTCGCGAGCCGAAAAGGGCCGATTCGATAGTCGACGCGTCAGGGTAGGAGGCATATCAACCTTCCATATAAGCATAAGATCTCGGAGGTCCGCGCGCACTTCTCGGATCGGCGCTGGGGGCCCCCTCCCTGGCGCGCGGAGCGCGCCAAGGACGGCGCCGGAGGCGCCGCCAAGGGGGTCTGGCGCGGATCCGAGAAGTCCGCGCGGACCCCCCGAGCTCTTCCGCTTGTGTCATTTAAGGGGCAAACAAACCTGCCTCGCTTCGACCACCCTCGCCCCCAAGAGATACCAAGCGATGCCAAACTACGGCCTGTACTGGTCAGGCCGCTTGACGAGGAGGCGCGTGGTACGACTTGGTTTCGCCTGGAAGCGAAAGCGGGGTAGGTAATTCACGCTCTGATCATTGTTCGTTTCCCGGCATGAGCTCGGCCCGCTCGCGCTCCTTGCGGGCGTAGTGCTGCCAGGTCCTGCCGGGCGCCAGGCTCGGTGTGCTCCCAAGGTGCCCAGGGGCTCCAAAGATGCTGCGATCTGGATGAGAACACTGCTCGCGCGTCTCCCTCCTCGCCCTTCTCCCTCTTCCTCTTCCTCCTCCTCCTTCACCGCCTCCCACCTCCTCCTCCTCCTCCTCCTCCTCCTCCTCCTCCTCCTCCTCCTCCTCCTCCTACCTCCTCCTGCATCCTGTGCGCTCCGTCGGGGGGTGCGAACTGTGCACCTGTCGCCACTCTCGTGGGTTCCTGGGGGGCACGGCGGAGGTGAGTCGGGAAACGAACTCTATACACCGACGCTTTTTCCGAACATGCGCTGAAATTCGCACAGGATCGCGGATCCTGGTGTATACGGGATCCTGGTGTATGCATGTTTCGTTCTTTCCCTGGGAGAACCGGGGG